TATCCAACTTGGGTGTGGGTTGAGGGAGGGGATGGAAATTCATTTAAGAAACAGATGAGGGCATTTGCAAAGGGCCCATCAAAATGAAGCCAATTTAGCTAAACTCTGGAAACAATGGCTGTGTTTGTCTACCATACAAGGAGTCTGTGTGATAGTTTAGTGCACGGGTGGCTAACCTTTTTGGGCTCCTGTGCCAAAAACTGTGTGCGTGTTTGCATGCTTGCGCTCGCGTACCAGCACCCAGAAGGTAATGCATGCCCTCTCACGCCCCTACACATGTGCGCACAATCCCCACCCACCCCCGCTGCCCCTTTACCTGCACTGAGCCTCACAGCTGATTTTGGCCAATTTGAGGCCTTTTTTGACCTCCCAGAGGCTTGAGGAAGTCTTCTGCAGGCTTTTCAGGCCCAAAACTAGGCCCGTTTCATCACTTCTGGTAAAACAGGAAGTGACAAAACAGGCCTAGTTTTGGGCCTGAAAAGCCTGCAGAAGCCTTCCTCTGGGAAGCCGAAAAAGGCCTCAAGCCAGCCGAAAATCAGCTGTGAGGTGCACGCGTGCACAGTGAGGTAAGTTTGCCTACAGCTTGCATGCTGGCACAAATGGCTCTGCGTGCCACCTGTGGCATGTGTGCCATAGGTTCGCCATCACGGACTTAGTGTAATCAATGAAATTCAATTTGACACTCCTGGCCTAGAGTATCAGGTTGTGAAACCTACTCTGTACACATAATACAGCCCCTCTCCTTTACCTCTTGGCCATGCTCATCAACGAGGGAGATATAATTAGGACTCGTCTCATTGGGGTAAGAAAGCAGAACGTCATAAGGAGCCAGTTGGACCGAATCTAGGCCAAATGCCTTCCAGTTTGCTTGTATCTGTTCAGCTAGATGCAAATTCTCCTGTGTGCCGGCCAAGTGAGGCTGCTGGGTGAAATTGCTAGAAGAAAGAACACAGTGTAATTGGCTTAATAGTAGAAAACATACATTTCTTTATCTTTGGGCAGATGGTTATACTTTTATCTATCTATCTATCTATCTATCTATCTATCTATCTATCTATCTATCTATCTATCTATCTATC